TTAATTTCAAATTAAAAAAATAATTATGAAATAAATAAAATTCCAGATTCTATCGATAAATATGCCTAGATATAGAATAAAAAAATCTTATATATAGTATTCCTTCTTATTTAATAATATCTTCTAATTTTTTTATAATGAATATTCTATATTAAAATTCTTGGTCTTAAATCTATTCATCAAAAAAAATAGATTAAATATTTCTTATATCATTAAGATATTCTAATATCTGAGATTATATCAAAATCTTAATCATAGCAAGATTCATTCTTTATATATATCATAATAAAAAAATATTCTCTGAAAGGATAATCCCTCCAATATATCATCTTCATAAATATTCGAAATCTTCCAACCTCATTCTATTTTTCTTTAGAATTATATCATCTTGAATGAATTTCCCAAGATATATACATATATCGAATTTCCCTCCCCCAGCCATATATAATCTATATATTCTCCTATATATCATCCCAATCTCCCCATAGAGGATTAGATTTATTCTCCCATTATTCTATAATATTAGTTTCATTTTCTCTCTAATTTCTCATGAGCTTTATGGCCATTTCATTCCGTGGTTTCTTTTTAAAAGCAATCCCCACGACCCCGCATGCCCTCATCTACCATTCCACGATATAATTCCCATATGAGCCGGCATCCAAATTGTTTGGTTGTGCTCGGCTCGTTTTGGAATTCGAGTGTCTCCTATTAATTTATAATGAATATAAATTAAAATGATTATTCTATTTAGAATATCCTCTTTAAAACAATTCTTATTATTTTAAAAAGTAACGCTATTATTAGATATCTTTGACAGTCACCTTTTTTTCAACCAATATATAATAATTTTGATTTCGTGGCATACTAGAGTTGACCAAGTGGAATATACAGCTTGGCAGTATTCCAGCAACGACAGCCCAAGTCTGAAAATTTGGAGAAAATTTAGAGCGCCAGGTCTCAGCGCGAAGGCGCAAATCCGTGTAGCGGTGCAGCTACGGCCAAGATGACATCGAATTCTTATATGTAGTTTCTGGCGCCAAAGTCAATTAAGGATACTTGGACATTCAATCATATATATTGATACGGCCATCCCAAAGGTGAAGCCAAGCATCACGTGACAGCACCTTACGTCAAATTTCATCCAGAGTGCCATGCCGAAGGCCGAGGGCAGAATTATAAATAAAATATGAGGTCTTCTACATAGCCTAGGCGAGGCAGCAATAGTATAGAAATGTAATATCCCTATACGTAATCTGTCGTCGGCTGCAACCTGGCTGCATAGGAGCCATTCACAACCATCAAATTGAGAGTACCTCACGATAAATTACGTTATGCATAAAGAATTGCCCTTCAGGGAACCCTTGGCCGAAATAATTGTCAGCCAAGACCCGAATATGATGACGGCAAAATATATCAGAAATATAAATAAATAGAGAGATAGAAAGATAAAGAGATAGATAGACAGAGAAATAAATAAACAGATAGATATACGGATGGATGCAACGATAGATAGATAAATAAATATTGAATTTTCGCGTGCAAGTGCTACTCCATAGCATAGAGAAATAGAGAGATAGCGAAAGAAAGAGATAGAGAGATAAAGAGATAGAGAGATAGAGAGATTGAGATAGAAAGATAGAAAGATAGAGAAATAAAGAGATACAGAGAGAACAAGATAGAGAGAAAGAGACAGAGAGATAAAGAGAGAGAGATAAAGAAAGAAAGACAGAGAGAGAGAGAGAGAGAAATAAAGAGAGACAAATAGAGAGAGGCAAAGGGAAATAGAGCTAGAGAGAGAGAGAGATAGATAGAGAGAGATAGAGACAGAGAGAGAGAGAGAAAGAGAGAGAGAAAGAGAGAAAGAGAGAGAGATAGATAGAGAGAGATAAAGGGAGAGGGAGAGATAGAGAGAGATAGAGAGAGAGAGAAATGGAGAGATAGAGAGAGAGAGAGATAGAGAGGGAGATAAAGAGAGATAGAGAGAGAGAGACAAAGAGAGAGAGAGAGAGACACAGATAGATGGACGGACAAATGGACGGACCGACGGACAGACAAATACTGAATTTTCGCGTGCAAACGCTCATCCATAGCACTATATGGGAAAATCTTTATGATCGATAACCTATATGAGTGGATAAGGCACGATGTTCCAGTGCAAGACTACAAAATGAATCTAACACATGTTCTACATTTAGAACATAAGACATTAGAAGATTACATTCGTTCTCTAAATTTTCCGGGCTGCATTCGTTCTCGAAATTTTCGGAAAATTTTGGGTATCCCGAAAATTTTCGGCAAATTTCGAGACCGAGGCGTCGAGCTACCCGGATCCCCAAATTTTCTAAAAATTTGGAAGACCGGGCCTAGCCCGAGACCACCGAAGACGCCCCGCCCTCTGTCTGAAAGCTTCTAAATTTTCCGGACATTTTGGGCTCCGGGTAGACCACAAATCGGCTTGCTCGCCGGGGTCCAGAAAATTTCGGTGCTAGGGCGTTCCGAAACGTGCTGCACCGCATCGGGCTAGTTTAACCGTAGCATTTGAAAGAGTAGATACTCCTTTCTTCCTCATCTATCCAATACACCATAATAAGTATCATCCCTACCAATCCCCGCGCCCCGAGATAATCCCCCCAGCCCACATACCCGTACCCACCCCCGCCCACCATTCCGCAACTCTCCTCGCACACTCACCCACCACTTCATAACATTCCCTACGAGTATACGCCCTCGCCCGCCCCTCCGTGACAATCCCCTCGATCCTCGCCCACCGTTCCACCTCCACGACATTCCCCACGACATACAAGCCCTCGCGCAGCACTCCGCGACCCCCTCCCACAGCCATTCTGTGACACTGCCCTCAAACTCGCACGACACTCACGACGACACACATACCTTCGCCCCACCCCTTAGCCAATAATTTAACGATAACCAATTGCAGGTTTTCCAGCGATCGCAAAAGCCCGATATTCTCGTAGTTCGAGACCGACAACCGTTCTGCGCAAATCTGAAACCGAAAGCAGTGCGCACCAATTTATGAAGCAAATATCCGAATCTAGATTTATTTATATATATATATATGAAATCTATAAAGATATGTTTTTTAGTAACTAGCCATCGGAGTTTGAAAACATATTAAATAAGAAGTTGACAGAAATCTTCATTTTTCATATATATATATATGTATCTATCTATGGTCCAACCCCTATGTCTATTGATTATGCTGTTAGATCCTATCAATATATGCTGATATTCAGTATCTAGCTGAAATGATAGCTAAATTATTTGATCTGTTAAGTTGAAAAGTTTAGGATGGTTTAGAATCGAAATCAATATATGCATAGGTCCCAAAAGTCGTATGTAATTGAATTTTGTTTGCCGCTAGCCATTCTCATCGAGCTGTCAGTGGAGCGCTCTTGGCGGCCAACATTGTAGCTTCGTCGGCCCTTTCCAGCAAAGACCTTTATCGAGACGGGTCGCATGCAGCTATCAGTGAAATTCTGCAGCATGTTCCAAGGGGTACAGCTAAAAGCGTATGCCATCATCGCAGGCATGTGTGTGGAGGCAGACGGCTATTCGACCTCGTAAACTGTCTGCACATCTGTCTCCAGTATTTAGCAGCACCTTCGAGACAAGTCGAGGTTGAACCCCACATTTGCCGTCGCTGCCTGAAGCGATCAATTTCTCGAGGCGTGGTGCTCCCACATTTCCAAGCAGGTCCCGCCTTAGTTTTACGTCCGGTCTACAACTCGCTGCCAATGCCTCTTTCTGTTCTAGCTAGCAGGCTGACATCTGTCTATGTCCATAGATACACACATACATACGCTACACTACACTATTACTATGCACAGTTGCTATTTCGGCTGAAATCAGTGCGAATATCATTGTAGATGCCTTTGCCATAACCCGAAGAAACAGCCTGAGCATTGATATCAGAATACACGCGGAGTTGGTGCCAGAGTCCCTTCATGGAGCACAGCGACTTTGAGCGTGGTTGTGATGCTACTAGTGGCGGCCTTGCTCAAAGCTCGGTAAGGTCCTTTTTGAGCACTCACCCTGGCGGGTCGTTGTCTGGGAGCGCACTACTCAAAGGCAGCTGCAGCTCCTGCGCCATGACATGGAAGACAAGTCAAAATGGAAGCCAGCATTGCTGTGCCTGCACAAAAGGGCGCTGTTCGGCAAACTTGTGTGGTCATGATTCCCAGGAACGGGCGGCTTTTGCAAATCTGGCCCATGCTCAAAACAGACCGAACAGGATCTTGTGGAAGCCTCGAGGAAGCGATCCAACGGGACTGGCCCATCCTGGCAAAGGACATGTAGCCGATCTCGGCAAATTCTCAACAACATGAATCTGGGCCTGACTGCTCCATCGTCTCTAGCAGCAGGCACGATATTTTGAAACCATTACATGTCTGCGCATCCATACCCCATCCTGGTGCCACTTTGGCTTCAGCTCGAGGTAGTCATGCATCCGCCATATCCGCAGAAAGGCGGTGTCAGCCTGGTCAATGGAGGAGCACAGCGCAGGCAGCGCAGACTGCAGAGAGGTCGCACGCCTCGTCCAACAACGTTTCAACCTCAGTCCGCTCCTGCTGACAACTGATTCTTAGGTGAGCTAGATGTGCATCGTGCGTTGTCCGTGAAACGTAAGAACACCACGAGAAAATTCGATGCAGGCGATGGCCACGTCTGTGCAAAGCGCGGAAGGTCGAGCCTCTGCTGCCGGCTGGATACCGAGGGCTCTGCGTGCTTACCCGACATCTGTGGACAATTGGGTCCAGACGCAGCAGCCCAGCAGAGCAATGAAAATCCGGGCAGCACCAGAAGGCGCAGGCGCTCATGGCCTGTCAACTTGGTAACTACTGCGGCAGTGCTTGGTGCGGTTGCATTTTCCGACACACACTCCCTGACTGCAGAGATTTTCTGATTCAAGGGACAAAAGACTCTGTGCCGCACCTTCATCACGAGCTGCCTTCGTCTTGGCCAGCCTCCAAAAACCAAACAGGAGACCGCTAATTCCTGACTGCTTGCCATGGGCACATCCTCCTCCAGCGCAGGCATGGCTCCAGGCTCAGGCGCAACCTCGGACAGTCCATGTCTCCCTGTGCATGTGTCTACTGAGGAGTCTACTCGGCGACTTTACTCATTACATGCTTTTCAGAGTCTGTAGGTAAAGTGGTCATACAAGCGCCAAACAACAACGATCCTCGTTGAGCCAACTCCATTCATCTCGGCCCGCGGCAAAGGGGCCAGGCGATTCAAGGCCTGTCCCAAAAGCCGCAGACATCGCAGACAGTCGGGACGGTTTGGACACATGCCATCGCATCGGGCCCAAGCCTAACTCCTCCTAGAAGCGCTCATGACAAGAAGCCCAGCAGTGCCTTCGTGTCTGCCAGCTTCATCGCTGCCTGTTTCGGCCTCGAGAGGACAGCCTGCCAGGTGGCCTCCGGAACGTGCGGAGCAGGGTCGAGCTTCACCTTACTCTCAGCTTGTTGTTGGTGGCCTTGCTTCCAGGCCTCCGTCAACTGGCCTTTCGGGAGGAGGCCGAAGGTCTCCGTACACTCCGCCACGTCCAGAAGCCGTGCCCAGCTAGCTCCTGCGTGCAGATACCGATGCCCGCCTAAGGCTTCTGAGGCCTTTTGGGGCCAGAGCTTGAGAGGCTGAGTTTTCGAGCATCGAGTGTGTCCGACCGCCGCGACCAGGTCTGGATTCCACAAGGTCCGTATGTAACTTGTTGTCATGAGCTGAACTGGTCGCTGATATGGTGAAACAGCAGACCAGAACCAACTAGCCGCCAAAGCTTTGCAGGCGTGCATATGGGGCGAGCAGTAGAAGTCTAAGTGCGAGAGGCGGCCTCGCCAAGGAGCCGGATGCCAGCCAGAGGTGGCTTTTCTGCGACGCTGTGGAAGAACTCGGCCTCACCGCGAATTACGAAGTGATAGGCGTGGCGTGGGAAGTCTGAGAAGTCTTGCCTGCAAGGATTTGCAAAGCTCCTGCCGATCTCGAGGCAGCCATTGTAGAAATAGGTCACCATGAGCATCTGGACAAACTTCAGCAGCGGGCTTCCAATGTCGTGGGAGATGAGACACGCCCCCGTGGACATGCCACAATCAACAGCCATCAAAATCGTTAGAAAGTGTACCAATTGGGAAAGAAGCTGCATGTACAGGAACGGCAGCTGGCAGCCAAGAAGGGTGATAAGAGCCCCGGCACTACCACGAGCCTGAAGCACCTAGAGCAAGACTCAAACACCAAACCCTAAATTCCTAAACCCTCCACCCCTATACCCTAACCCTTAAAATCAGGACTCATGATTCCCATGGTTTTGGGAGCAGCAGCTGCCTTGTCCAAGAAGAGCCGAAGTGTGATGTCCGAGAGGTGTCCCTGCTTCTGGAGTTCTCTGAAAATCCATCCGACCCAGGTCCAAACGGCCATGCCTTTCGAAGTAGATTAGGTGATATTACTAGTATAGTGTATGATATGTTCTGTTGTATTACGTGATATCATACTGTATTATACTAGAAAGTGTTAAACTGCCTTGTGTTATATTGTAGTGTATTTATTACCTTATGTTATGTTATATAATGCTATGTTAGTACGGTATGGTACAGTATGGTCTGTTATTTTATCTGGCCTGATCTCATTTCAACCTATACTATACTATACTATACTATGCTATGTCTAATGTTGTGTCATATTGTGTTAGTTAAGTATATTATACTGAGGGAAATTTGCATGAACCAATAATATGTTGGAATCTGGTTTATATTAAGTTATGTTATACTGTATCAAATCAAAATGTATTCTGCTAAATCATATTATCATGGATGGCTTTATTTACCTCATTATATGATATGCTATATATATATATGTATATTATGTACATATGTATAGGTATATATAGACTATATGAAATGTGATGTTATATAGCATATTTATGTTATATTGTATAATGTATTATATTATATCTTTTGTTACATAATGTTGTAACATTATGTGATGCTGTATTGTATTACATTAGATTTCATCTTCCGGTATAGGATATGTTATACTGCAACTGTATTGCTGTTGTATTATATTATGTTACTACTGCTATTACTGCTTGTGCGTTGGATGCCAGCTTGCGGAGTCAACAGTGCAGAACAGGTAGCCGATTTTCGCATTGAACTCAAGACGTCTGCAATCAGGTACATACATGATTGGATACTAAACAAGCAAGTGCGAAGACGATTCCTATACAAGCACCTGCAACTAAAGATCCTACCTGACGAAGGTCAACACGATCACCTATTTCGGGGTCGTAAAGACAGGGTATTTTCACTCTGCTACCATTGACGTTGCTGTTATTTCTACTATTATTTACCGATGTTATGATAGTACTATTCTTCTTGTTATCGGCCTTTGGATGGGTTTCCAGCCAAGCAGGCGGCTTCGTCAGACGTGAGGAGATGCCTCTGCATCAGGGCGTCCAGATCTTCGTCCTGGTCCTCATTTTCCATAAAGGTCAACTCAAACGAGACCAAGCCATAGCGCAAAATCAGTGTGCGCAACTTTCGCCATTCTGGACCAGGAAAGAATGACCCGGTCAGGACACACAGGTCATTCATTGCCCCCCACATTCCACCAATTCCATCGCTTCGCATGCTCCACCATCTCGTCATAACGGTGGAGATGTAGAAGCCCAGGAGGACTCCGATCAAGGATGTCAGGAAAGAACACATCTTGTCTGCATCATCAAGCCAGCTACGCTGCATGGGCTCTACATCTGCAAATGCGCGCAGCCCGATGTGGATAAAGCTAGTCACCGCCGACACGAGCACGCAGACTCGCATGTGGTTCAGAATCTGTGTATTGGACAAGAGGGTGTGTTTGAACATGAAAATAACCGTGAACGACAGAGAGCGGTCTGCATTGTATTTCAACATGTGCCCGCCCGGAGCGTGGGTAAACATTTCATCCAAGTCGCAGTGAGGGAAAATCACAGTGTTTCCCAGGAAGCCTTCCTCTTCCTTGTCCGTCCGATCCAAAGACTCCCGGTGCTGGGAGTTGAGATTCTGGAGAAACGCGGACTGCTCCTCTTCCCGTCGCGCTTTGTGGGCGCGAGAGGCCCGAATGCCACAATTAAGCAAAGCCAGCGTGCCCAGATAGACTCCTCCAACCCACCAAAGACGCTCAAGTTCGAGATGCACAGATTCACCCATATTCACGGCTCAGCGTCGGTGGGTCACAACCATTCACAAACCATCTTGGTCGGTATTTTTCCTTCCTTCCTTCAATGGTATGGAATTCCTTTGCTTCAATATCGTGCGTCATCCTTGCCCTCTCATGCTCGCTGCTGATTCTGTTAGACACCTTTGGTGATACGGTATACAGTCTCATGAGAGCCAAGACCTTGCAGAGTCCCTCGTGACAAGATGTGAAGCCCCGGGGCAACGTCTAAACCGTCTAAACCTGTACCGAACTCACCATCAGCAGAAGCGGAGTTTGGGAAGGGTCCCCGGAAATTGAAATGGCAAGAAGTCATCGCCCGTTACCATGCTCAATACCTGGGGCAGGCGATTCCTGGCAGGCACTGCGGCATCTCTTTACTCACCGACCGGGCCCCAGTTTTCAGGACCAAGGCCAAGCAGCAGCAGCTTTTGCAGCTTTGTACAAAGAGGTTACCGAGACGACTCGCGACTTCCTGCCGCCCGGTAGTCCTCACAGGGCACCTGAGCTGCTCTCTGCTCTCGGCCGGTGGCCGCCGGATTCTGTGAGGGCGCTGTCGTGCGGTGCTGGCCTGGCCGTGCCTTCCAATAGGCAGCCATCCCAGCGGCAATGATCGGGCACCAGATGCAAGCCGTGGCGGGTGGGATCCTGGGACGACCCAGGCAGCTCAGACTACGCCAAAACCAGAACAACAGCCAGCAGCCATTAGTCTTTAGTCTTCCACTAGGCTTCCCTCGTCCTTGGACCCTTGCATGTATCCGGGGTGCCAACTTATCAGAGCAAGAAGCCGCGAATGTTTGCAGCCGCAGCTCTGAACTGCTGCGGACTCGAAGTGTGTCGCCGCGAGCATGCAAGCGAAGACATGGTTCTTCATGGCCTCGGAGCGCAACTTTGCAGGTCGTAGAGTCGCCAAACCTAGCGGCCTAGACGTAGCATGTTCAGTGGCTAAGGGGTTTGCCATTCGTGCGAGTGGGGTTGTAAGCTTCCGGCAATCTCGATTGCCACTGTGCGACGCTCGCGCTCGTCCGATCCTGACAGCGCCGCCAGGAAGTAGCCTCGCGCCAAGAACACTGCGTAAAGCATCGGAGGGATGTGCCTGGACATAGCAGCTGTACAATACAGCAATAAAGGTATCACCAGGCAAATCTGACAGACTCGCTTAGTTTAGGCCATCGCACATCGCGGCCGCTGTCTGACCACATGCCATGCAGGGCTGGCCTAGAGCACCTGCAATCGCATGAAATGCGACTGCAGCAATGTGGAGCGACAAGCCCGCAGCGAGGATGGACTTAGCATTGCCTGCAGCAGACGGGGATCCCGCAGAGTTTCAGAATTTTGCAAAAATCCACGAAGTCGCCCAGGAAGCACGTCCCAGAGCACGTGCAATACGTGCAGGCCCACAGCTGCGCCTGCGAGGACTCCTCCAATCAAAGGCAGGGCGGAGCCCAGCCCGAGACTTGGCACCAACGGCTCCTGGCAAAGTAACATAAAGACGAGGCACACAATGCTCTGCGATGTTCTGTGCATTGTTCTGCTCGCTTCGCTCACTTCGCTCGCTTCTGCCGCGATGGGCAGCTACCAGTTTCAGGCTGCAAAGCTCCCGGTTCTGCGGCTGACATCTCTTTCACATGCAAAAACTCGCAGAACGCTGAAATCCCCGGGTCCAGCTTCGCCACCGTCATTGGCAGCAGGGCTCTAACCATGACACCACACAGGATGGGAATCAGGACAATCTCCACGGCAGACCTGTTGAAGCAAACTTATGCAACCGGAGATCATTCGAAACTGAGGTCACCTCAGGCCAGAACTTCAGAAGGCCCAGGGTGTCCACCGGCACGATGGCCCCCACGTAGACTTTGGCAACTAGAGGAGTGCAAACGACCTCAAGACTCAAGACTTCTCCTGCCCTTTAAACAGGTTCCAACTCCATGATGCTTCTCACTTGCATCCTCATGCATCTTTGAGACGCAGTGACTGCTCCAATTGTTGTCGTAATGGTCATCAACACCGACAGCGCGACGTCGCCACCGGCGAGCAGTGCGAAGAGGTTCGAGGCCGAGCCTGCAGAGTGAAAGAGGAGGAAGGTCTACACACAGAAACGTACTCTATACCTGTAGAAAATATACATGCAAACACACACACGCACACATACACACACACACACACTTACTTACTTCTCATCGCTCCTCCCTTCACTAGTGCCTCCGTTCACGCCGCCCATGAGGACCATGCCGACAGTGAAGTCCTGGCCATGCTTCAGAGCCGCGAGTTGAGTGCCCTTGGGCCTGGGAGGCGGCCTGGCCAAGGTTCAGGACCTGGCTGATGAGCAAAGCCACTGCCGGCAAGACCTGGGCGCTTCATCGCCAGAGCTTCCTCTGCCTCCCCGGTGCCCCTGCAGCTAGGCGGCCGCGAAGCAAACCTTGTCTGCTTGTCATTCCGCAATCTCCCCTCCTCTCAGGTCCGGTGGCTGCCGAGCGGCGAAGAAGTTCACTGAGAGCGGCCGAACTTTTAAGAAGCAAGCTTTGAAGTCCTAGCAGAATGGCTGCAATCCACACGGAATCGTGACGACTGCATTGGATAGATCTCCTCTGGATGAGCAGTGGTCGCCATCATAAACACGAGGTTCACTAACCTCGGGCTCGAGTCAGACGGTCAAGGACTCCTGAACTTCCAACACCCATCACACCAATGGCAGGACAGGGAGCAATGCTCGGCTGATCCGCGGGCTGACCCACCTAGGGAGCAGACTGAGATAGACTGAGCATTCAGTTGCGGAGATGGTATGGGGCTTGACTTGGGAAACTTGTCGGGTCTCCAAATTCGCATGTCTCTTATCGAAGCTCACACTCCATTCCACAGGCAAATTACGAAAGTCGTCGCCTCAGGTAAGATACTCTCTGCCTGCTACCACGCTTTAGCATTGCACCCCTTCATCCATCTAGTTGACCCCTGACAGTTAATGTCATTGCTCCTATCGCTTTACGGAAAATCAAAGGCACCGTTGGTTTCACTCGTCCTTTAGCCACCTTACCTGCGTGAGGACGTGCTTCCTATTAACCTAAGATTGATGGGTTTCAGCCTGGACAGCATCTCGCAGCAGTCGAGGGGCGAGAATAGCCAGGGATGGCTGAGCGCCAAGGCGGCCAAGGCTGCCATCCTACCAAAGCTTCGAAGAGTCTTTGATGGCTCAGCTAAGGCACACGATGAAACTGGGGACAGGACCAGAGGGAGAAGTAGTCGGCGAAGACCGAGCCACCGACATCGGCTTTTCGTGCGGGCGGCATTAGCACAGCAGCAGCGCGCTGGTGAGAGCTAGTTAGGAAACGGCGGACATTAGGACACAAAAGGCACGGGTCGCTGCAGCTCAGCCTTGAAGGGGGTGGAGAAGAGTCTGTCTCATGCAGGTAAACAGATATGTTATGTACTATGTGTGTATGTATACATTCATGTATACATAGATTTTCATACAATACATACAGACATAGTAATGTCACCGAAAGGAAGCTCCGATGAAGCTCGGGGACGGATGGCATGTCTCTGGGGATGACGCTCCATTGCGCGAGGGATGAGTATAGGAATTGATCTGAGCCTTCTTGTGCAAGCTCAGCTGGTGAGCCCGAAGCGAGCAGGACCGAGATATACCGAGACGCTGCGAGCCGGAGGACGTAGAACCTAAAGCTTTCATGAACCATGTCGCGGAAGAAAGGCCGTTTTGGAGGTTCTGCCAATCCACGGCACGGGTTGGTTTGCGTTTGCTCAAGGCTCCTTCGAAGGCCTGCGGATCTTGTCCCAGGAGCTCTGCTAGATCCAGCGCCACATCCTCCAGCGAGGCTACTGTAGGCGCTCAGCAAGGCCTTCTAGCTTGTAGCTGCGAGACTTTAGATGGCACAGTCACAGGATGAACCCCATTCGACTGCATGTAGTTCCACCATGCACGCACCAGCTTTCCAAGCTTGTCTCTCCACAAATGCATGAGTCGGTGCGGCACTTCAGCCACTGATTGCAGCTCTCGTTAAAGAAGACACTGCTACCCAGGGCAGATCATTTGGTGTCTTTCTCCCTTGGTCTCCTGTTTGGCATGCTCGTCGTCTGCTGCAGACTCCTCTGCGTCCTGCTCCTTAGCAGAGCAGAGCGTTAGGGACAAGCTCTGTCACCGAAGCGCTCAAGCTCAAGGGGAATCAAGCCGCAGTTCTAGGCCGAAGCGCAACCCGCAAAGCTCGTGTCGCCAGCCGCAGTCGAACTTTCGCAGCATCGGCGCGCCGAGCCCTGGGGAGCAAAGCGCTCACCACCTCGTATCAGCGAAAATCAAGGCGGAAGCCCAAGTTTGTGTGAGGCCATGCAGCACAACTTGGCGCAACTGTTCTGTTACTGTTAAGGCAAGGGCAGCCCGAGCTGTCAGCATGGCACGCTGCGTTGGTGATGTGATAACTGTGGTTTGCAACTCCTCCGATGGACGGATCCAAGCACCATTTAGCGCAATCACTGCGAAGCAGCTGCTGCCTGCAACCTTTTCAACAAGTCTCTGTCTCGCGGATCGCAGCAGGACTGCTTCGGGGCTGGGGGTCTTGTCGGTTACCAGAACGGCCTTCTCACTAGCCAATACACGACTTCGCTTCTGTGCTTCTGGATAAGGAAATGCTCCAACCTGCTGGACATCTGCATCGCCATCGTCATCCAAGTCGACAACAGCCATGGCTGTCTGCCTTGGACTCTCGACGCACAAGAAAGCTTGCGCAAGGCGGGCAAGTTGTTCAACTGTGTCAATCTGGGATGCTCCGCAAGCCAGCTCTCCAGCCGCCGCCCCACGGCGAAGGCCTGCAGCGAGACGACTGTAGCGCACCACGAATCTGCATAGTTACCTGCGCTCGTCGACTGAAACCAACCGTCCGGAATGACGTGGCATCTCTGGTCTCCAGCAAAAACGTGAGGACCTGTGGTCTGCCGCGTCGCCTCGTCCGCTCCTCTGGCAGTGAGCTGGCCCCAGACCTCCTCAAGAACAGAAACATGGATACGTGCTAGTAATTGCTAGTAGCTGCTAGTAGCTACTATGTCATGATGCTGGTGCACCCTCGGAGCCCCGCTTCCTCAGCCTCTCGGCGCGGTCGGCGGGCTCCTCGAAACGCCGAGAGAAAGATGTGGAACAGACTGTTGCGACCTTGGGGCCTTGTGACTGCAGGGCTGGAGGCTGGAACTAAAGAGCTCAGCGATGCCCAACCTTCGCCGTTTCACGACTGCGCAGCATCTAGAAAGGCCGGGTCGCTGACCTCCCCCGGTCTCGGATAGCTAAGTGCCGCGAAGGAGTAAAGCTAGCAAGAGTCTAGGGCATGGGCGGGTCCTTCCTGTTGTGACTCTCCCAGTGTCAAACGTCGCAGTAGCGATGGAGTAGGAAGCGTCGAGCGCCAGAAACCTTCTGACCTCCAAGATGTGGCGGCTGTGACAGCACTGATCAGTGTTCACTGCTGCATATGGTGGTAACGACGGATCAGCATCGTACAGTAGGCATGCAGCGATCACGGACTCGTCTCAAGTGAGCAGTCATAAGCATCAGCGAGTCAAAGCAGAGTTCCTCGAGGGCCCAGCTCCAGTGGCAGCAGCGGTGTGCGCGCACCGCCCCGGAGCAGCAGCGACGAGTGCACGAGTCTCAAATGACCGTGCCTTAGGACGGGACAATCAGCAACTCGCATTCAACGAGGAGGGTGATTGACTTGCAGTCCAGGCCAAGCACACTGTGGAAGCAGCCCTTGTACCCCTGGCGGACAGCCAACGTTGAAGTAGGACCCTTCGAGCAAGTCTGAACTATGGTCGACGAGAGCCTCACATGTGACAAACAATGTAACGACTGCTGCACTCTAGTCCGAACACAAACGCATACGTACGAAGGAGCACCGTGCTACCGCCAAGTCGTGCGCATGTTCTGCGTTTGCTCCGGCGAAGGAAACGTGACTGAGCCACTGAGCTGCACAGTACTGTATTGAGTATGCCTTGGCGGTCGCAGCAGCAGCACTTGGCTGGCCATGGAAGCCATGGAAGCATGACGCACTACCAATAGCAGTTTTGTGTCGTTGCCCATGTAACCAGTCTAGTCTAGTCTAGTCCCAATCGTGACATCGACAGAGGCCCTTAGGGTCTGCGCGGGATCGGAAGAACCCTGCAGATTGATGAGGCCGTGGCCGTGCTTTCATGCCCATACAGGCTGCGAGCCATGTGCATCTGAATGATGCGTGGATCCGCGTGGCCAACAGACTGAAGACACGGGGTACGTCGAAGCCGTACTGTACCGGGCCTACAATCTTAGTACGCTTCTTTGCATGCGTACCATGAACCCATCGGGATACAAGCACTCTGAGCTTGCACGCCGGTTTCGGTTGCTCTTTGGGTGGATGCTTCAATCCCACAAACCTGCCAACGAAACATCGTCAGCTGCACGCAACGCAGCCACGCACAGGCGCACTTGCCACGGTCCATCGTGCTATCAAGAGGCTGTCTCACATCGACCTTGGAGTTCGGATCCTGGCGGGTACGCCGAGTACGCTTGGACTGGATCTGTCCAGAAGTCTCAGCTTTTCAGCACATGCAAGGTCGACTCTTTGCTTGGCCCACTTCACCGTGATGGGATCGTCAAACGTCCGTGATACCTGTTTGGAGCGAGAGCGTTGCGATGAACGTGGCATGAGAATCCCAAAGCATGATGTGACTGCTGTCACACTCGAGCAGCTGAAGCAAAGCTGAAGTGATGCTGGGATCCATAGGCGGCTTTTGTCCACGCACAGTACACGACCGCTTGCGCCAGCTTGTGCTCACTCCGCGGAGTCGTGACCGGCAGCGTCACTGCATCTGGATCTCGGTGTGCAGTTGTCGAGCTTGGCCTGTCAAGGCCGACAGGCTTTTGTGCAGTCTGTTGGCTTTCCCGGGCCCCGAGCACATGTGCGTCGCTGCTGCTTCCCGGTAGTCCAACTAGTCCTCAGCAGCTGCACTGTTTCAACAGCTCCTGCTGTGAGCAGCTTGGAAGGATTGGACTTGCCGCTTGCCTCCTCTCCGCCCAAGGCTGCGAAAGCGCGAGCCTTCAAAGCCAAGCTACTTCGCTCAAAGTCTTGCTTCCATTTTGCTGGACTGCGCTGCACGATTGCATCACTGTGAAGGTACGGCCTAGCGGGCGATACACAAGGCCCACGCCACATGCGCAGGCATGGCCGGCAACTTTGTGGGTGTGCCCGCACGACTCGTGGAGGACTTCCTTGCAGTCGTATAGAACTTCTTCGCAGAGATCATGCAATGCTTGGGAACCGGAACAGCTTGGACTTCGTCCTGGATCGGTTCTGCGATCGCTCACGCGGCTCGCGTCCTGCTGGGCCCGGTGACCGAGATGGCGTCCTCGCATCATGCTCAGCCTGTGGTTGATGTCGCTCTCGACAAAACCCCGAAGCCTCAGCCGTGCCGCCCTGAACCGAACAGTCCGAATCGGAGGTGGCGTGGCAACACGGCTTCCCGGCATGGGCGTGGCACATGGCGACACGCTTCGAGAGACTCGAGGCAAAGCGAAACCTGCATCAAAGCTGGGTTGGCTCAGGCTACTGAGTCGCATATAGTCGCATGATATGTTACTTGGGACGCGGGTGAAGTACGGAGCTGTCGCCTTCGTCCGGCAGAAGCTTGCCTAGCCGGAAGTGTACTAGCGCTTGCGCGGTGGCAAAATAAATGTGGCTGCTGGTGGATGCTGGTGGGCCACTTGCTGATACCACTACCGTCATGGTCAACACAGGCGTCTCTTCTCGGTCTCGGCCTTGCCAGTGACACGTTTCGTTGTCACGACTCCCGACCATACCATGACGTACCATGACTATTATCAGGGTTCGGAGCCGTATAAACATTCTCTGTGATCTTTGGACCCGGAGAGTTCAGACTCGGCCATGGCCGGCCTGAGGCTTTCGAGCTGGACCTGGAAGAGCTCTCCACGTCTGTGAGGATGGTCTCCTGGACATGTGCAGAACCCTCGAATCTGGGTGCTCCGCTCAAGCTTCCGAATCGTCCACCGACATGTTGCACAGCCCCTCCACGCCCCGCCCCACCCCTCACCCCGGACCCGGAGCATGAGGAGATCATCTGGTTGGCTGACCAGCCGCAGGGCAACCTGTGGACAACGAAGGGCTCTGTTGAATTATGCATGTCAGCAAAGGATCAAGCCAGACTCAACAGCTGGCATGCCTCGATCTGCTTCAAGGCTGCTGCACGAGAGCCCTCCTTCCACATGGCCTTCGACGCCACAACTCTGAAGAGATGCTTCGGAGACCCACAGGCTGCTTCTGCACACCACCCCTCACCTAAAGCCTCAAGTCTTGAACGGTCTGGACCCTCGATCTTCGCCGTCGAAACCCCTGTGCAAGACGATGCCAGAAACCTGCCTTGGCCACCAAGACCCAGCCCTTCGCAAAGTCTGACTTCAGCTGGGTGGCACGTAAGGCGTCCTACCAGTGCCCAGTCCAGTTCTGAGGTTGCTGTGCTTCCGGGAACAATACTTTGCGCTCTCCTTTCTGCCCTCAGGCGCCAATGCCCAACCCGTCTGCTCGAAAGAAAGAGCACGCTTGGCGTCTCTTTCGGCTACGTCCGACTACGGTGTGGTCCTCTAGCTTCCGGAAAACTATCCAAGAAACCGTTGGGATAGAAATGCTGTGAGGGCGGAAGCCATTGCACGAGGAAAGCGCATGCATGCATGCATCCAGCTGGACTCCCCAGTGTGCGATGTGAGAGCTACGATTGTACAATCCAGACAGAGACTTCGGAACAGCTTCAGCGGAACCAGCTGGCGGCTTGAAGTGAAGCTGTCTGATCTCAGCGATCTCCCAAGCGACTCCGACATCGTTTATGTGTCTGCACAAGCTGCAGAGACTTCTGAGCGTGGCTCTAGTTCTTGGGACATCCGTGCATCAGTCGAAGGCTTAGCCTTCTGTTTCTGCAGAATGCTCACACGGCACACTTTCGAACAAGTGAAGATGAATAACAGTCGGGTGGAGTGTTGAGCAATCCCCAGATGCAGCTACTGCGCTCTGGTCGCCTGTATGTTACCACAGAATTGGCAGCGCTGTGTCCAAACAACTCCAGGTGTGGCGGCGGCCTGCCCAAACGTGCAGGCTTTAAGGCCCGTAGCATATCGTAGCATGCTGATCGACCGCACCAAAAACTCCCCGCCTTGCGTGGATGCATACAAGCATGGCTCCTGGATTCGCTACAGCGATCTGTTTAGATTCAAGGGCTACGACAGTGACTCTGCGAAGACCACGAGCCCATGCCTGGAGATCTGGCCAGGTGTGGCTCCGCGCCAGCCCGTGGCCGATTCCAGATCCTTCGCTTGCTTCGCTGACAGATCCTTCCTGCCAAGCAAAGAGCAAGTGAATCCGATGTTCTTCTTTGGGCTTCGATGCGCGCGGTGAACCGTATCCGATGCATGCGCCTGCGTGTTCGCTCTCGCAGGAGGCTGGAAGTGCAGCGAGGATTGACTGCATTCATCCTGCAAGTCCTGTGAAGGTAGCGGCTTTCCCAAAGAGCTGAGAATGCACGCAAACCTACCTCCAGGCGACCATCAGCTTCTTCACTCTGGACTGTCGAAAGGGACAGGGCCAAGCTGTCCGCGGCTTTGGAGAGGAAAGTGCCTACTGCAAGCAACAATCTTCAGACGTCTCGGCTCAGTTCATGGTGCTTGCAAGGAAGGAACAGCACCATGATATCAAAAGACCCTGCACGACTGCTCTTGTCGGGGTGACATGTGGCCGGGCAGGAGGAATGGACGAACGGACAACAGACGGCTGACGATCTTATCTATAGATGTCATGCTGGGTTTTCGGCATTGCCGCTAAATGTCACGACTAGTCTATAGATGCGAACACTGTTGAGACTAATCTTCCGAAGATGTTTTGTCCCACGATATCATTCTCGATGCCCGGCCGTGCAGCCGTACTTGCAGCTCAGGTGAAGCGAAGACTCAACACAGGTGCCCCCAACACATCCGACTCAGGCTGCCCAACATGTTGGCTTGAACAGCCCGTGTTGTGTGTGTGTGTGTGTGCATGTGTGTGTATGTATGTATGTATGTATGTATGTATGTATGTATGTACATCTAAACATTTAGGACTGTGCGCTGGCAGCATCCCGCTGCCGGCCTGCGGACAGCTCGCTCTGCACCGACAACTCGCCTGGAGTCGACAGACCCAAGAGTAGGCCCAGGAGCCAGAGGACTGGGAGGTTTTGGCCTCGAAAAGTTGCTACGACAAGCTGGCCCTCCATCTGCCGCCATGCTGCTGGCATTGCGCCCCCGGCACTGCCTCCCCAAGGATTGCAGAGCCGTGCGATCCTGGGAGGCACTGCGCACACCTTCTGCTGCTGCCCCTGCCGGCCTCTGCTCTTTCGCCTCGTCGGGGAGCGTTCCGGGCAACTCCAACTCCGGTGGCCTCGCCTCAGACTTGGATGAGGGCTCGTTCTCGTTTGAGCTAATTCAGCAGATGCAAGAACGTGGTGGCCTTGTGAAGCGACCCGTGATGCTGCTTGTTGTAGATGTGCCTAAGGCGGGAGTATGAAAGACTCGGAGCATGCTGCTTTGTGCGACTCTGCAAGATCGACACGGGACTACATGTCCCCACATGTCCTAGGCTACAACATGGGGGCATCACCACTGACCCGATCCGTATCATCATCGCCTGGGATCAACATAAACTGGCTGCCAGCCTTCTGGGCATGTGTTGCAGTCCAGCTGACAAGCTTTAGCTGCCGGTCCTCAATGGGACCAACTCTAGCCCGACTTCACAGACACAGATTGTCTTCGGCTCCTGCACGCCTATTCGTGTAACTTGGTGCTCGCCTATCTTTCTTCAACTGTGTGAAACACGATCCGCACTGCATCGGAGCTGCCAAGCAAGCTCCGCCGCGGAGCCCGGCAAGCTCTCCAGCAGCGATACCTCCTTCTGAGATTCTGCATCATTCCCCGAACATACTGCAACACACGGAGTTGTTGATGCACTGTCCGACGGGCCTTCGAGGGGTCCTGCACCTGCTTCGTACCGATGAAGTGGTGCTCGGGCTCCGATCCCGAAAGCTTCTCCTTGCAACCTAGGCGAGAGATCTGTCGTGGCGCGAGGGCCAACCTGTCCAACCCTCCGCCACAGGAGCCTCGGCTGTCTGGCTGTCGTGGCAGAAGCTCGTCCTCAAGCACCAGTAAGAACTTCGGACTCAAAATTCCGTCTCAGCTCCCTCGTCGACAAGGATGGATACAGCACTTAACGCACACCTTCATGGCTTGGGGGCGATGCAGGATTATTGAAATGGGGCCTCTCGAGGTGCCTTCTGCCTGCTGCTTGCTTTGCTGTGTGAAGGGCAGGCCCGGCCCGTTTCTCAAATGCTGCGTGTGAAGAAAACAGCTGCACTTGGCTGTGCCATTCAATTCTCCATCCCTCTCAGGCCTACAACTGTCCACTGTCCATGTGGCCAGCATCTTGAAACGGAGGTTCTACCTAAGCCCACCCTCTGCGTGCAGAACGTCCAGTGGGAGAATCGGGACAACGTCGATTCACCGTCCCTTCTAAGACACAGGACGCTTCGGAGGCCAGCTCGTTTAAGTCCAGGGGTTTAGGACGATTTGGGGTTTAAGTCTAGGGCATCAACGAGTTGTGCCCTTGTCATGGACGATACGGCAACGGGCCTTGAACTCAACCAGCCCTGTGCCGCCGAAGCTGGCAGACCACAAGGACAAGCTGGCGATGAAACCGGTGTCCTGTCTAAAGCTGGTGCTTTCAACAGACGTCCGATGCGATTTCTCGCCAAGAGGTCCTGGTTGAGACGACCCCACTGCACACTGCAATTGCCAAGCTTCATCTCAACACGGCCGGAGTCCTTGCATGACTGAAAATCTTGTGGAAGATGCAGCTGCCTAAAGTTACTGAGATGTGGGGGAGGGTCTCGGGTTCCGAGCAAAGGCACAGCCAGTGCCAGCAGCATGGTGTATGGTTTCTCTCGCGGCACGAGGCTTGACTCCTGTCAGGACATCAAGTTGTCCAAGCAATCTTGGAAATCGAGAGGGGCATGCACATTGACATGCATGCTCGAGGTATTATTGGGCAGCCTGCGGTGCCGGTCCTGCACGGCCAAGTCCTCCAAGTGAACCGTCTGGTTTGTCTCGTCCTCGTGGACGGTAGCGCGGGTCAAACTCAGGCACGAGCAAGAGATGTTGGCAAAGTGGACTGTGCCAAGTCTTCGATTCTCAGCATTCTCTGCAGTCATCTCGGACGCCCAAGCAATGCAGACCTCGCTGCTTGCAGAGGGCAGCGTGACCAGAATGGCGTACTTCACATAGTCCGGGCCTGCTGGTGATGAAGGCCTCACACCGCGGGCCGTTGCTCGCGTAAAGGAGGCTCCGTGGTACGCAGGGCAATGATTCAGAGCCTTCATCAAGAGCCCCCAGCGCCGCTTCTGCACCTCCTGCGCTGCCAGAAGCTTGGCGGCTTCCCGGTCAATCTTGTCCGTTGCATCATCAGGATGGAGCCTCGACAAGTAGAGTGCCAGGCGTGACACCGCCTTATTTTCAAGGCCAAAGGCCCTAGAGAGGAACAGGGCTGCTCTTGAGATCGCCTCGTTCGGCCGGGCAGAATCGTGACGAGTGCGGCTCATGGTCAAGAGCTGCGCCTCTCCGCTGTGAGCTTGCCGCAGATTCCTCGCATGATCGGAGGACAACAGCTCATCTTCGGCCGCGTGCAAGAAGAGCCCAGGCACAAAGCAGGACCTGGCATACTCAATGGGATCTGTAGGTGATGTGCTGGATTCGGTTCCAGGACCCAGTAGCCAGCTTCCAGATGCCAGCTGGCAAAGGCCTGCCAGTGGAGCTGACAGCACCCCCGGCACTTCCAGCAAGGATGCCAGATCGGAGTAAGCACTGTCGCACACGATCGCAGCCAGTGTGGGGTCCTTCGCCGCTTGCAAGGCCGCCACTGCACCAGCGGAGCGCCCCCAGAGGGCCACGTAAGGATAAGGCGCGATGGCTTTATGGCCTTGCCGCAACATCTCGATGGCCGCTGCCACGTCCTGCTCCAGGCAGTGGCTTGTCCCATTCGAGCTCACGTCGATGGCGAAGATGGCAATGCCGAGCGGGAGCAGTTCGGGACCTCGCGGGCGCACGCACTCGGAGCACACCCGCGGCCCACCCTTCGAGCCATCCTTCACCTGGCCATGCCTGGGCCTCGCCCTCTTTGAACTGCGCCAAGGTGCAAAGCTCCAAGCACTCCTCCGCTCCTGCGCCGCCATCCCGCTCGCTGGGGCAGTAGACCACCACGCACCTGGAACGGCATCACGGCAGCAAGACATGCAACAACACCCCAGAGATGTTAGACACTTAGTGAGGACCTGGGCCGCTTAGCGCAGGCTCTCACGCGTAGCTATAACTCGTGTCGTAACTATCATGTTCGCACGCTGGTCGCAGATCCAACTACACTGAAGTCTCCCTGCTGTGCTCGCGCTGTGGTACCCTGTGGGGTTTGCCTGACAGGTGCTTTACAGGCTTTTGCGAGAGATCCCCCCCGATTGCAGTCGAAGTGCCGCCGCTCCACTGGAAGCTTTGGATCCAGAAGGCGGCCTACGAAGCCTCTCAGAGAATCACTAGGCGTTTGAAGAAAAGGTCGAAGCCGAAGCCCATTTCAGCAAATGTGCTTCTCCCCTCAGATTCAATTTCTCCTGACACCCCACCGTTTGCCGGCCCGTACCCGCCTCGCCGTGGTCCGCTGCGCACCGAGAACTTAGCGACCTCACTCTTAAAGTCCTAAAGTATCCCTGAGCCCAACTATCAAAATCCAAAGCCGGAAACCCCGGGCGCAAGCATTGGCACTCAACCCGCTAGCGACCTGCAAATGGAACAAGTTCGCTGGTCGGGGGGCCACACCGTGCATCCTGCAGGAGCTTGCCGGGAACTGTAGACAAATTGGCTTCGGAGCAGACGGATCGCAAAAAAACGGATTCATCAGCATCGTAAATTCATACTGTAGTGATGAGCTCCATCCACAGGTCGCGAGTGTATGCTGTAACACAGTGGCGTCAAGGGCACCCGTCATCCATGCACCAAGATCCCCGAGATTGCAGCATTGAAACCTGCAAGTCTCAGCTTTGTTTGGCAGGAGTCACGGGAAAAGTGTTTGAAAGCAGCAACGGCCCAGGAATGCATGTCATGTTCAGATCAGAACCAACATTCGTGTCGTGTCTGCACTCTTGCGCGCAACAGGTCTTGTGGAGGTCAGTGCACTACGGCGCCCTGCTTACACTCAGGTCGGGTCTTTGCACTTTCCCAGCTTCTTTCGGGGTCAGTTCCGGTCCAGCGTGGTGTGCAACCCGATGTCGAATTTTCTTCATGATCGAGCCTTCTGAGCGGCTGTCCCCGATCACGAGATCGCCGCTGGATCCGTTGGGTACGTCACTCAAACCCGCTGCTGCTTTCAAGTCCCGGCCCGGCACCCAAACGACTGAGCCACAGCGGGCACGACATCAACCATTGAGCTTGGCGACCTCTGCTTGAAGGCCAGGCAGCGCACCTCCGGCAGAGGGAGGGAGGGAGAGAGAGAGAGAGAGAGAGAATCCCTTGCAACAGAAGCTTGCCCACGGGGAACGAGTTGAGAGAAAAAAAATCTAAAACAGCATGATCCGGAGGCTCAGGAAGGTCCCTCGACTCCACAACTGCTCACCTTGACCCCAAAGCTTCCTAAAGCCTCAAACAAAAATCGATGCCAGGTTGCCAAGGACTTGGCGCACCTCGCGACTCACAACGCTTTTCGCCGCTTCCGTGCATGTCAAAGCCCCGCCCTGCATTGCCCTATGCCTATGCCCCGTGTCACCCGCTGGCCTTGGCGCTGTGGACTCCCCGTCGCCTGACCTCCTCAGACAACTGCGACGGCAGCGCCAGGCGCCGGAGTGCCGCAAGCCGATCCTCTAAAGAAAGCTCAGAATTCCGACATGTCCCATGTCAGCAACAGCCAGCTCGTAGGCTCGTAGGAACCCTTACGCCGAAGACTGGCTGCACGACTTGCAAGCGCGATTGTGCCTCCATCCTGGGACAGGACTACGTGATGGTATGATGCTGCGCAACTCCTGGAACTGGTCCATGCCAGGGATGTCTGGTGTGGACCGCCTAGGTGCCGCTGCCATGCAAGTGGCTTCACGGTGTCCGTGGCTCACCGTGACGTGCCGTTGGCTGAGGTGCTGCCCAGAGTCAGGCAAGTTGCCGCAAGCTGTCGGCACGCTCATGGGGCAGCCATGGGTAGGAGAAGGAGAGATGCAACAAGCCGGCTGTAGACATTGAGGGCAGGTTTCACTTGGACGGCACAGCTTCCGACAAACAGAAGTGTCAAATGAGCTATGTCGTGTGAGCAGACCTACCAGGTCACCAGGTCCCAAAACCGAAGTCTGAATGCAAAAGCGCAACCTCTACCAATCTAGATCCTGACACCACACCTTCAACCCGGCATGGGAGAGTCTCAAGCTGAAGCCCTTGTACTGGTAGCCTTCAGATTACACTCGCTGTTTACACGGATGGAACGGCTCCTCCCGGCAGAGGTCCCAGTCCTTCAATGCCGAGTGGCACCTTGCTGTATCCAACATCCGACTCAAGGCCATAAACGATCAACACTTGCTGGCAGAGGCGTCCTCTATGAGCTGAGGCACAGGGCTCTGTTGCTCCAGAGTCTGTAGTTGCTTGGTGTTAACCTGACGGCGGGCAGACAGATTGCACCTCTTCCGGCTTGAGAGTTTTAACCGAGGGCACGACTTCATGGCATCGCTGTACCTCCGCGTGACGAATGCAAGATTGCGTGGAACGGGCGAGATTGTCGGGTACTCAGTCACTGCAACACGTACACGTGCCACACAGGTCATCTCTGGCTTGTTGCATGATCCGAGGTACTTCTTGATAGCGATGCGAAACCTTAGCTATAGATCATGACAATTGCCAGCAGCAGCTGGCAAAGTTAAAGCTGCAGGCAACCAGGGCATACCAGGGCCTGGACTTCTGCATGGCAGCCATGCGGTCGGGAAGGCTGTCAGCCTGGGCATCCAAACACGGGCCTGGACTGGCCCTGGCTGCACTCCAGGATCCCAGCATCATCGCCTGCTTCCCGGAGCATGGCCTGCGCCTGCCAAGGCTCCATGCGTGCTACAAGAGGGGTTTCTGTTGCGAAATCTCGGGCGGCTCGGCCTGCCGATAGAGCTCGTTGCCTGCACAGAGTTTCACTTGGTACATGTTCCGGCGGCCGTCTCGTCACAAGGAATCCCGAACATGCATCGTTTCTCCGGTAAGCACCGATGAAAACAAGAGCTACTCGTTGCCTTCACTCCGCAGGGCTTCTGCCTGCAGCTTAGCTTCTGCCTTGGCCCTGGCCTCCTGTCGCACCGACAGGCAGGAACGGCTTTGAGGCTTCCCAAAGTCCGGTCTCCTCCTGATCCTGCTCCTGCTTCTCTGACTCCTTCGCCCTGCTCTCAGGTTCAGCAGGTTCATGCCTCTTCCTGGCCCAGCGTATGAGCGTGGCAAGCATTATAAAGGCCAAACATCTCATCAAAGAGACCTGCTGCTGCTACGGTCTCGCCGCGGAGGAGGCTCCGGCGGCGCCCTTGCTTACGGAAGCTGGCTTCCATGCGGGGGTATATATACATATACATATGGTTTATGTAAAAACATATCGAGTAGAAATATAAATCAAAGGGCACAGCCTCTCTTACAATGAGTTAGCATATGATAGCATATGGGATTTTCCGAATCTGTCCAAACGCTTCGAGGTTGCTTTTCTCTGCGCCAGATGACATCGTATGCCTGCAAGGTGACACATGCACAGCACCACAGTCACTACAAAGCGTTGGTAGTACCAGTAAGCTTCCTCACAGTAAGAATCACTGTTGGGCTGCCCTAGGACCTAGGACCTAGGACCGTGCCAAAAACAACGTACAACGCATGATCTCAGGACACCTGCTCTTGAGCACCCGTGCCTCGCGGAGAGCCGGGAATCGTAGAGCCTCCCAAGCCTCCCCGGAGCGGATCAGCAGAAGCAGGCTTCACGCAGGCTTCGACGGAGTGTCCGTCGGCCAAAGCTCAAGGCCGAGCCTCATTCAGCGACTGAGTCACCTGCGATGGGAGGCTAAGCTGCGACTCTTTGCAAATCAAGCGAAGCCATGCCGGCGAGGGGCGTTCTGGCCATAGCCCCCTGCACTCCACGGCCGCTTGTCAGGGTGGAACCTCGGCTGCGCCAGCTTGAGCGAACAGGGGCTGCTCCGGGCCAGGCTCGGCTTCATCCGATCTCCTCCGAGGCCTCCGCTCTCGAAGCTTCTCGTGGTAGGCCTCAGCACGGAAGAGGTCCCACGGCATTGCACACTGCCACTGCCATGGCGGCCATCCGGCGGGTGAAGGGCACGCCTTCTTCAGCTGCTCCAGGGAGCTGTCCGGAGAACAGCCCAGCGCAGCCTGGCGTCCGAACTCTCGGAAGACTGATGCGGAGATGGCGTCTGCTGAGGCACGTAATGATCCACGAAGGGCTTGGCCGCAGCAGCCATGGTCCATGAGGCCCATGGCGACTGTGGATCCACGGACTCTGCGTTGGAGGTATCATGAAACTGTGACAGGCGGTGGGCTGTGGGGCTGTTCGAAACAGGGGGCATCTGGGCCACTGCTTTCACCGGGCTCCAAGCGGGACAGCTGAGTGCGAGCTATGTTTGAACCGGGCGCAAGCCGCGATCCCAAGATCAGAGCTCTTGGGCTTCAGAGCACTTGCGGCCAAGTTCTGCATCAAGACTCACCAGAGCCAGAGGTCGCCTTGCCAGCAATCATGAAGGCGGGATGCTCCTTAGAGCTGTACCTGTGCAGTGGGGAACGACAGCCTACGAGCTAGCAATAGGAGGGTTCTTGGCATCACCATCTACAAGACAAGATGCGACCTATGCATGCTGTTCGGTGACATGAAACACTCGGTCCCTCCAGGGCTCTCAGAAAATCCACGCGGCAGCGGGAGATAATGCAAACAGAAAGCCAAACAGGGAGGTCGCCACTTGCAACGATCCGGTCTGTCCATCATGGAAGCCTCTTTGGCCTCTAAATACCTCGGATAAAGATTGCCCAAAGGCAGATGGCTTGTACAGATGGTGTGGTGCGGCGTGGCTGAGCAACTCACTGCACTGGAAGGCGACGGAACTGTCCCAACTGGCAGCAGGCTTCTCCATTTCCAGTCGCCGTGCCATGCAATCATGTCCTCCCATTTGGCCTCCTGTGGCGCAGCACACGGCCGACGGAAGACTTTCGGGAGCTCCTTGCGGCCTCCACACCAGCTTTCAGGCCTCTGATGGGCCTTTGGGGACCATGTGGGGAAGCGCAGTCTGCCCCTTTCGAACGCAGGCAGGCTGAGTCTTCAATCCAAGCGGGAGGTCTCAACAGATTCAGCAGGTGGACACAATCCCGCGTGAACAGCCGCCTGAGACGGATCCAGACTATCTGGAACGAAGTGGTGGCTGCAGCTTCTGCAGCATCCGCATCCCAGGAACTGGAAACTGCTCCTAGTCCCAGGTCGAGCTCGGAAATGGGCACACGAAATCGAAGTCCAAAACACGAAGCAACACGGAGATGCGTTGGCGCTCGCACTGGGAACAGGACGGAAAAGCGGAATGCAGAAGAAGCCACTGTACATGCAGCTCTCTATTGGGGCTCACTCTGAGAACGATGGCTCCCAGTGTCTGCCCCAAGTCTATGTAACATCTGGCTCTATCAGGTGGTGGTCAAGAGCTAAGGCCTCTGAGGACGACTTGTCGGCTTGTGGCGCGTCCAGCGGCGCAGCACAATGTGCTCGTCATGGGATTCAAAGACCTTCGAAGGCATCTGCGTGGCAGGATGGGGAGGCGAGAGATGAGCTGCCTCCTCCGTGCTGAGAGAGATCAGGAAATCGGCCATGATGCCTTGGAGCCGTGTCCGAGCTTTCTTGGCTTTGTTTCGTACGGCCGACCAGCCATCCGTGTCCTGCCGACAGCTCCAGCCCATCAGACCGGCAACGGTCGGCTTTCGCTAGGTCATCAGCGTTGTCCTCACTAGGACGGTGATTTTAATCGTCATAAACAGCAGCAGGCCCTCAGCATCACCATCACTACATGTACCATCATCCCCAGCATCGTCATTGCTTAGCAGCATCATCATCACCACCAGCGCATCACTATCGTCATCATTCTGATTGAACAGAGCAAACAAATTGTGCAAGGCCCACGTTGGAGTTTCCGGTCTGCCCCCGCAGGTGTCGGGGGCTTGAGTTTAGGCCTCGCTTTCGGGCAACAGGTTCCTTTCGGCAGAAACCCGTGCCTAAACCCCACGAGTCAGGCATGGAGTCGAACTCGCACACCTGCGCTATGGCATCGGTGAGGATCTTGTCCTGCCAGGCGTGCGAACGCCGGTTCAAACGCATGAATACCGAATCCTGCTCGCTCTGAAACGCTTCGTGTCCTTCTCGGTAGGTTGCACCGCAACAAAGCTTGCGAGATGTTCGGGCTAGACATCCGCACCTCTTCCAACTGACGACAAAGCTCTGCTGCTGTCATGCAGTCCAGGCGACTCATTCGAACACGCAGCTTGTGGACAAAGTGATCCCAGTGATCCCTCTCACTGCGGCTCAACATTGGCTCTTGGAGCGTCTCTGTGTGATCTGCCATTGGCTCGAGCTGTGCGGGAGCACCGGGAGTCACCGTCGGCTTCGAAGCCGGAGACGCTTTGAGCTTCCAGGCTCTCGTGGGAGAGGCAGTCGATGTTGCCGGACTCGTCTCTTGAGGTTCAATATGGGGCTTCTGCATCTTGGCGTCTCTTTTCCTTTGCTTCTCCTTCTGCTTCCACTCCTTTCTTTTCCTGTTCTGCTCCCTCTTCAGTGCTTGCGCTGCCTCTTCCTTTGCTTGCTGAGCTTCAGCTTCTGCAAGCCGTTTGGATTCCTTGGCAGCAATCTTCTGAGCTGCCATTCGCTGCCCCTCTTCCAAAGCCTGTCTCTTCCGTATGGTGAGAAGCTTCTTCACCAGCCCTGCGACCTTCTTGTCGTTGCGGTCCTCGATTTTGCGCCTCCGCTCGGCTGCCTTTTCGTCTGCTGCTGCTTTGCGCAGCTCCTGGATCAAAGCACTACCAAAAAGGAGCTGCTCTCGTGTGAAGACCCGGCTTGGACCCTGAGTTCGGAGTCTGCTTTGGGCTCTTTTGTCTGAGTCTTCCCCACCCCTTGGCCCCGCACCTCGCGAATCACGACCGTCTTCAAATGCTCCTGGCTCTGCAACTTGAGCATGAGGCGGAGCTGTCGATCGTCGGCGTGCTGGATGGCATGTGCCAGACTCAACAGGTGCTGGACTCTGATCTGGATGCTTATCGGGGAGTCATCTGCCGAAGATCGGTCCAGGATAGACTGCACCTTAGCAAATGCCTTGTGAGGGCCAAGACCGCTCCAAAACTCCAAGGCCGGTCCAACTGCTTGTCCAAAACGTGCGTGTAGAAGGTCCAGGACACTGCGTGCAGCTCGAGCGCATCTGCCTGCACCATACCGAATTTCCGAGACTCTGGAGCCTTGCTTGATGGCTTCCGAAGCGCGTCGCAAGTCATCCAGCAAGCCTTGTATCCTCTTCAGCATGGGTGTCAACATATCCTGCAGCACAGCATCTGCTTCAACAGATGTACTTCTGAGTCGCCACGTCGCAGTGACAGTGGCAGCCACAGCAGCAGCCGGCACAGCCCCTAGGAACTGCACGATCAGGGATGCCGGGCCCTGCAGATTCTGCCCGAGCGTAACAAGCGCCATGGCTTTTAAGAGGGGCCCCCAAGCCCTGGCCCCTTTTTTTTGCCCTACGCTGTACGCTACTCGCCTCGAGACTCAAGGCTGCTGAACGTCGCACCCCGAGCTCATGAAGCAGACACCATCGGCTCTAAGACCGGGCAACGATGCTCCGACCTTGAATTTGACTAGCTGCCAGCTTCTTCTTTGCCAGCAAAAGTTTAGCGGCATCTTCCTGTCCACCGGGCGAAAGTTTAAGCAAGAGGCGCAGGGCGATGCAGGGCGGCAGCTTGAGTGCCTCCTGTTGCCGCTTTCGCAGCTCGACCTTCTGCTCTCCGAGGCGCGTATTGAGCTGGCTGAGAGTCTGCCAATTCAGTGCTCAGCCGATACCGAGCAAGATCGGCCCGGCCTCCCACTCTTCTTCTGCTTCAACGGTCTTTTCGGTCTCGACTGCTGTCATTGACATGGTAGAGCCCTGCCTCTCACAAGCAGCCGAGGCATTTCTTCACAGCATCCGTACGCGGTAGCTTCTGAAAGCAACTGCAGGAGCTGCATCAAGCTGAATCGATCTGAATCGTCTGCACAGACTACACGTCTTCACTCTGACTGAAGTGTTCAAGTTTCTCGCTGGAGCTGACCGGTGCCTGGACGATGCTTTCCTGGCTTCCGAAGCCGTGAGGGTGATTTAAGGGGCCACAGGCAACCATCATGGGAAAGGTGGTGTGAATCCGCGAACCCACAGTCTCCTTGCCGGCATTGGCACTGCGTCCTCTTCGAGGAATGGCACGCCTGCAGGCCTCGCGACTCGCGACAGAGCAGACTTTGAAGTTCCGAAGCGGTGTTTACTGAGGCAGCCGCGGAAAGGAAATTCAACGAAGGCAACGGCAAGGCCGACTGGAATGGCTAGTGTAGTGGAAATGGAGGCTATGGGGCGCCTGTTTTCCATTACTATGTCAGGTGATGGTGATTGCGAAATATTCCGCAGTCTCTCGACGGCTCCCCCTTCTTTCGCCTGATACTTCCCAGAAGCTGGCCAAAACACGCCAAACCGTGAAGCCATGTGAAACCCTGTCGTGCGCAACGTCTATGGCATCATCTTTGGTCGGCTTATTCCTGTGAAACTGCAGTGGAGATCGTACCAAGGTTGTGAGCACGGCAGAGCAGATCACAGAAAAGCAATCTCTCTCGACACTCACCAAGAAGCAAGAGTTCCAGTACCGCACAACATACTCTGCAAAGAATAAAACAGGAATTGGGTCAGCAAGCTTTTGGCGACAAGCTAAACTCCGCAACTCCAGCCCCTGTACTGGTTTGGAGTGCAAGGTGCTGCGAGGACCAGGTGCAACTGCTTCAAGAGGAGTGTTGAAGCGCTCTAATGTAGCACTTTCAATCACGCATGCTGCAATCCTTCAGCTACATTCATTTTGCAACCTGGTCCACTTTCGAAGTGCGTGAAACGTGCAAATTGGCTGAGCAACCACAGCGCACAACGCCGGAGCAAGCATTGCCACGATGGGGGTGGCAGAAGACTTCTATCGCCAGAGCCATGTCCAGGTTGCGCGTTTTCGGTGTTTGGGGTTTCCCAGGCAAAAACTTGGAAGACAAGCCGTGAGACCAGCCACTGTTCAGTGCCCTCAAAGCGCTGAGCCAGCGTGGCAGTCGAGGCTAAACTTAAGTTGAATCTCATCGACTGCGACAGCTGCAAAGGCTCTGTATACAATTGCACTTGGGAAGCCTTCAAACCACAAGGACCCAGAATCAAAAGGCCAACAAGCTCAAGTCCGTGCTTAAGTCCTAGGTCTTCTCATGCAGCCAGTTCTTGAGCGAAGTATAGGCCTGTGCAGGCTGTCAGAGCTGGTGAGCCGATACGAGGCCAGCCGGGCACCTGCTCCACATCCATTGCCAGTTGCCGGGTCTGTTCCTCTGTCAAGCGGTCCGAGGCCTTGCATTGCAGGGGCACAGGTCACATGTCGAAAGCCACTTCCACTCTCCGAGCTGCCGACCCGCATGCCGTTGAGCGTGACAAGCCACCTGCTGGCAGCTGTCAATCGAGGTTCAGGTGGTGCAAGTCACCCTTCTACATCTTCTGACAAGGATTGCGCACCCAGCAATGCGCTCTATGCCAGCGAGTGGTGGCAGGTTGGGAATGCCCACCTCAGCCAAAAGATGAAAGGTTTCAAAGCCTCGTAATTTACGAAGCATTCAGGTTTCGGGAATAGTAAAGGGGCTTTAGACTGAACCCACTGCTGAGTAGATGGGAGAGCCGATCAACCGCTGGCCGCCGCGAAAAAAGGTCGCGATGGCATTGCTTTGCTGCACCACAGTTGTCTTAGCACCCAGCAATGCTCGCCTGCACACGTGAGCCAAAGAGCCCGGTCGTGTCAAGCGAGCCGTTTCAACAGTAATGTCTGTGGTGACACAAAGCCCATGACTTTCAAGCTGATCGAGTCTGCACAACAGCACGAACAGAAGCAGCTCCAAACAGCCCACGTCTCGCGACCTGCAGATCTCGCACGAGGGGCAGGAGCTCGTCCACGGCCTTTTTCAGCAGAAGCTGCTTCGTGTTTAAGGAGTATGCTTTGCGGCCAAGTGCGGTACATTCATGTTCAACTTGACGGCATCTACCAGGGTGATGAAGCCCTCAGATGCCTCCACATGCTGTCAACAGTCAACGCGTCTCGAAGCTCCTGCAAGAGACTCTCCGACCTTGAAACAGGCCAAACTTTCCTTGCCCGTCGTCGCTGTGCCACCAAAAAGGGCCTGGACTCCGAACTCGCTTGCAGGCTTGAAGGCATGAAGGCGGCTATTTGCAAGAGCCAGACCGTGGCGGCCACGCCAGTTTCCAGCAGGCGTGCCTCTGCCAGCGGGCAATTCATCCTCGGCGGATGGCTTCGAGGCTTCGAGGCTGACAAAGCTCTGAGCTTCCTGAGCTTCCTGATTTCTGCTCCCTTCGACTGGGAGCACAGCCCATGTTCCTTGGCAAAGGCACGGATGTCTGGGCACCTCGGAGCGAGTGAGACTCTTTCAGCTGATCGGAATCGGCATCTCGTCTCACTGAGCTCAGGACTTGTCTTTCAGCCCAGTCCTCAGACAGGCAGTATCCGACGTCTGCAGCTTGCTTCGCGAAACGACCGTGACGGGCGGCTTCAGGGTCTTGAACTGCGTCAGGAGTTGTGTGCAGGTCCGCTCGTAATCCTCACGTTAAAGAGAACATCTTTGACCATGTGAAGCTGTTGCCTCTCAGGTTCATTGTCCTGATTAGACACGGCACCACGAACAAATGCTGCTTCCAGGTGCTCTGTGGCCACCTCATCAAGCACCGGAACAGCACCCGCAAGTCCAGATCGAAACTCTGGGCCCCCGCCATGATGGAGTACAGCTCCGCAAACATGGCGGCTTCGCGTCTCTCCTGACCACTTAACAATCCTCCACCCTGGGTTCCAGGAACCTACTTGTGGCGATGTAGAAATCCGTGGCCCGTGGGTCTCACGCAATGTGCTACTGCAAGGCACCACGGGACGAAATACGAGTTCGCCCGTCGCCTCTCTCGACAAGGCTGTCCCTCTCTTCGGAGCCTGCACAGACGCCGTGCTGCTGCACATGCGCCAAATTACCCTGCTCTGTTGCGGGGTTGACCCGCCTCTACTGCACGCCAGACATCAACAAAGACGCGTCAACACTATCCGACGGCTTTGAGGGGTTCGAGCTTCGGCTTCGAGAGTTCATGCAGCATGCAACATGAAGCTTCGTAAATACCCCTACAGACTTAAGTTCTAAGCACAGGACCGCCGGTGGTGCCGTGGCTTCCTGAAGGGCCCAAGGGGCCCAAAGCGAGGGGGCATCCGTGAACTCCAAACCAAATATAGCCCAAGCTGAGGCCAATGGGCCCTCCCCCTCTGTGTCCTAACGCATCGAAGTTGGGAAAAGTGGTCTTTTTGGTTTGTACTTTGATCTGCCAATGAAACTGCGCAGCTGCTATCGCGGCTTGACTGGAGTCAAGTCACGAATTGAGTCAGTTGCGATTTCAGATGTTCTCCGAACAGCAAGACAGCAAAAGCCTTAAAACACAGAGTGCCATCACACGTTCCCACTGCTGAGAACGGTGCTGCGGGAGGAGCAGACGGTGGTGCGGAGGCCACTTCCTGGGCTTACTTCAGATGCTGCAGCTAGGCGGAGAGAGTGCCCTTACACCCTACACCCAACAATGATGTCTGACATGTGGAACTTTCCAAAACCTCCGCACACTTGGGGGAAAAAACTCTGCAGTCGTTCATGCCCATGGGCTACCAAAGTCCAGATTGCTCATTCAAGAGGATGGAAAATTACTGATTCATAGCTTCTCGGCTGCAATTCGGAGGAACGATCGGATCACTTGTGACAGTACATGCATGGACAACAGGGCCCAAGGTGACGAGAAATCGGGTGACTAGGAATCCGAGTCTTCGATCTCCCGTGATGGGTGAAAGTTGCCGCAAGAATTCCATGACTGATCTTCGACATCGGAGATTCGCGAGATGCGGGGGGTGCAATGATGCGACAAAGACTGAGACTGAGGATTCGGCCTCTGCAGGAGGCGCGGATGCAACATCCTGGCAAAAAGAGCTTGGGATTCGCCCCACTCAGGCGGATCTGCTTGCATAGACCGGTAAGCTCTGAGACTGGAACCGCAGCTGGGATGGGCAATGCCTTTTGTGAGCAGGCCAGCCAATTTGAGGTCTAGAGCAAACGTCTGCTTTTTGGCTGCCCATGGTAGCGAGATCATACTGGCTGATTCAAGGCATTTTAGCGCCTCCTCCGCCGATGTGTAGCCCGTCGGAGCAGCCTCGGTGCGGGAGCTGAGCCTTGGGGCCTTGGGGAGCTCTTCGAGATCTCAGCACCGCACGACTACCCGAGGTCGTTCAAGCTCCGCCATGGCTGGTTACTTGCAGAGACGCAGCAATTGAACTGGACTTGCTCGGGGACTTGAAAAGTCACAGGCATTGGGGATGCCAGGCATGCCAGGGGCAAAGCGTGTGCGTCTCTCTTGGATCCAGTTCGCTAGAAGCGGCTGCCAAATCTCCACGCAAAAGCTTCTGCATCCGCACAGCCCCTGTCTTTCCCGGGCATGGGGCACTTTAGGGGCGGGCTTAGGCCGGTTAGGCAACGAAAGCCACGAGGCTCGATGCGGTGCGACTATCTTATTCAGCAGCGCAGGCTTTGGGAGCTGGTTGCGGCTGAGCCTAGCTTCGCACAACCCAGCTGACATCAATTTGCATTTTGGTAAGGGAGAGCAGATGGATACACAACAGTTGCAAAGATAGAAACGAAAGCCGCGCCAACTTCCGAGAGGCTCTGCAACTAGGCAGCCGGAAGAGAGCAAGAAGAGCAGGCGGAACAGGTGCAGCAACAGCATCAACGACGACAATGACTACGACCACAACGACCACCACCATCACCAGCGCCGCCGCCGCCTCTTCTGCTGCTGCTGCTTCTGCTGCTGCTACCACCGAACCACCGCCACGACGAGGACGAGGACGAGGACGAGGACGAGGACGAGGACGAGGACGAGGACGAGGACGACTGTTACTGCGACTGCTACTTCTTCTTCTGCTACTACTGCTATACTGCTACTGGTACTGCTACTGTTACTACCACCACCACTACGACGGATTTTCTGCTAAACTGCAAGGAAGGATTCCTGGAGAACAGGCATGTCAACTTGCAACTACAGTAACCAGCATCTTCGACCATCGAGGGATGAGAACCGAGCTCACGCTTTTTCCACATTTTTGCATGAAGTGACACCGAACTGAAGTGGATGCCAACAGTCTCGGCTCAGCGCCTTTTCTGCCTGCCAGGGCAGTGCCAAACCTACACGGAAGGAGCGTGCATAAGGGCAGAAAAGTGCCTGAGCGCGTAAGGGCCATGCATCTGGACCAATGCTTATGCTTATGCACCTCAGCGATGCGAGCTGCACTCCACATCTCACTTGGCAGGCCTGGGGCCTAGAGAGTGGGGCTTGGGCCGACTGCTTCGAGGCGATCCAGCCGCCGCTTGAGGCTTTCCAATTCCCTCTGCTGGTCAAGCACCGTCTTCTTGTAATCATCGTGCTCCTGGCGATGCAGATGCAGGGCACTGGCCTGAAGATACCGACACCAAGGCTTCTGCGGAAATGGCTCCTTCTGGAGATTCTGGAAGGCGAGAGTCAGCACCGCGATGAGGTCCTGCTTGCTTCAGCGAGATGCGCGCCGCCGCGCAAAGGCGCCACGAAGGCTTCGCACGCCTGACCCCCGCCCCGGCCCCTCCCCCGGTTGTGCGCCTGGCTGGCAACCGCTTTCGTGTTGTCCCCAACCGTCCGAACCTTGGAGTCGGCAGCTTGCAACAAAGAGGATGCGAGAGAACCGAGCACCAGACCAAGTTGGGGAACACTGCTTCCAGCTCTTGCGCGATGAAACCGAACTTCAGGTACCTGGCACTCGATCGTCACACCAGTCCGTACTCCAAAACGCCGCTTTGGACTTGTGATGAAGTATCGTCATGGTCGTTGGGCACTTGGCTTCCGGTCCCCGCTTCAGTTGGAAGGAGACTGGGCGCAGCTCGCCTCAGCTGTTCGAGTCGTAGCGCAACATCTGCGACCCCGTCTCCACAAGTCCGTATTTCCGCCCTCTTCCGATTCGACCCTTCTGAATAACTTCCGCCCAGGCTTCTGAACCTGCTGGGCCAACACTCTCACCGACGTCTAAGGCTCGGACGCAGCAACCACTTCACCTGCTCACCTTCGCTTAGCCTCAAGAGCAAGAATGCTTGCACGGATGCGGTGTCGCCGCAGCTCGCGAGCAGATCCACTGCTGGGCAATGTACTTGTCAGCTGCCGGCTGCGCTCCCGAATCGGATTCCCATCCTCAGCCGGCGAGTCTCTTTGTCGCAGGCCCTCCCTAGCATGCAGCATCTGCACGTAAGACAGCTAGGGCTACTGCGATCGCGCGCTCTGGTTGCGATGGTTTGGTACAGCGGCTGAATGTTGCGCTTGAGGCGCCTGTCCTGAGCAGGGCTTCACGGCGTACCGGCTGATCGTGCCATCTAATCCCACGCAGTTCCACAGCAACCACTGCTCAGCGCCAGGCGGACGTTGTGATACTGGCTTCTGCCGACCATGCACCTAGGTGGCCAAGCTGTGACACATCAGACCACGCAGGCCTGCGGTTGATACGAGTGGAGCAGTCTGGACATACATCGCTGCTGGAAGAGCATGCATTGGCAAGCAGCAGGCTTCAGCTGAGCCCCGAACCATGCAGTGTGCCGCCATTTGCGGTCACTGTAATGCCACGCTGGGTGCCAGCATAGACGTCCAGCTGAGACCTTGCTGACAATAAGCTCGAGCCGTTGGAAAATGTCCCGATGCAGTTGGAGATGCCTTGTCTATGCGGGCAGGCTGCGAGCTGATCTTCAGGTACGTGGAGTCGGAGCCGTCCGAGATGAGGGAGCTCCTCGCGATTTCATGCCCTCTAACCCATTGCCCTGAAAGCCTGGGTGCTGGGTCATGACAGAAGCTGCAATCGTGCAGGTAAGCAAATCCCTGTCCTGATTGTTCCCGCCGATGAAGTGCTTCCGAGGTTAACAGAATCCAACGCTGGCAAAGCCGGTTCAAATCGAACACTTGAGAAAGTGGACAACATGGAGCCAGGCCAGAACCTGCTTCGTGCCGGCGTCGCAAAGCCCATTTGTGTCAGATCCACCACGGACGGGGCTGGATCTAGCCGCATCACCGAAAAAATTGATACCGCTGGCCCCAGCCGGGCACAGCTTCTCATGGACACTGTTGGGCCAGATCCGATCGCATCGAAAATTAATACCAAGGGTTCTGACCTTGCAAGTCCAAATGTCGGAAAGGAGGATCCAGCTCAAGTGGTCGATCTCACAGATGTCGGCAAACCAACCCTGGCAGCATCAAAGAGCAAGACACTGGAGCCAAGCCTGGCTGTACCGGACACTGGCGCGACAAGGCCAATTCGAGAAGGCTGCCGCAGCGGCATCGAGCTGCCGGTCGCCACGAAGTCCACTGACAAAATCGGCAAGCCCAGCCGGACGAAGCTTCGCGACAG